AAACCATACCGCGAACCACACACTTGCCCCAGATTAAAATATTCGTTCCAAGCCTTTCATCTTCCAGACACGTTGTCTGAAAACAAAATTGCGTGCTCAAAAGATTCTTACCATAAAAACTCAGACAATGCATAGATTCCAACGCAAAACATACACACACACACACAACTCTATCAAAGAAAATTTAATGCAGTCATCTATCCGCTTTTTGATTATTGTTAATGGTCTGGTTGAAGTTATAAGCGTAAGTTAATTAAAACATCAGGTAAATTTATCCCTTCTTTTATGGCATTCGAATTCGCAGGGGATGCACCATAGGTCCCTCTACTGATTTAATTAAAATTTCCAGGCTTGTCGCCAACCTATTAATGTAGCTAATTTTTCATATTTTGAGAGACAGTTTAAAAGGCGCCGTAGATGTAAGAAGCTACGATGGAAATGAAGCAGTTTAATGCCCAAAACAGTAAAGAATAATTTGGTTAGCCACGATGACAGATAGGCTGAAACCCAAGTAAAATTAATATAAAACACCATTTTAAACGTACGGGCTTGATGGGATCCCAACGTCCTCGGTGTAAGTGGAAATCGTATTTTGTACAGTTTGCGATTTCTTACGGAGTTATTTACCAAGTGGCTCATTCAAATCGAAGATTACCAGTGGCTTAAGAATGGCTTTTAGCCTTAACTCTTTCCTACGTCATCCGCCAAGGGATTGTAGGAGCCATGTATTCTAGAAACAGGTCATATTCCGATTATTTGCTCTTATTAAAGTGTTAGACTACCGTTCAATTGCAAGGATGATAAAATAAGTGATTAACCGCTTGGTTTGCTGGGCTTAAGTGCAAAATACAGAGTTTTAGAGTACTTCGAAGTGCTGTTTAAAGCCTTGCGGATCGTGGAGGTGCTTATTTTGAAGAATTGGGATGAACGGATTTGCACTCGATTCATCCAACCCATTTCAGCATACACGACTGTTAAAACAGAAATGCTTTAAAGGAAAGCTTAAAGCATTTGGATGTAAATCGTTTAATTACTGCGAGAGTGTTAAGACCGATTTTTAGCTAATTAAATGCATTTAATTTTAGCTTATCAAACTGCGCAGTCATGTGCTTCTGGTGGTTACAAAGTTACAAATCAGACGAAATTTTTGCATGTTTTTCGCAGCTAACTAACTAAAAAATAGGGTTTTACTTATAATTTGTTTTCGAAAACGCAGTGCGCTAAATTTGTCCCCGAGAAATGAGTATTACACTAATGCACTGAACTCAGGCGATTGCGGTGCGCCTTCACGATTGGAGGGGGAGGATTTCTTTTTCCAAAATCGAACTGTTTCCGGGAGCAGGAAGAGGGTATCAGAATGTGCTCCTCATGGAAAGTGATAGTATTTTAACAAATGTACAACAACCAGGATAACCTTTACCACAAGGAATTAACTAAGAGGGAATGATATAGATCATGGTTTTGAATTTCCAAGAGTAGTACAATTGGACAACCATCACGACATCACAAAGGAATGCCGTTTACCCCCTCTCCCACCGTAGCACGGCGCAGGAATGAGCCAACTCAGCCACTCCAATCACCACATCTCATCAAACATCTTTTAGTTGTATGCGTCATCGTAAAGGAGATTTACCACTCACCTATCACGTACATTTAATTGCTTATTAAATGCAATCTCCAGCAAGAAGGTAATAACAGCACAAGTGCAGTGTATTTGGCACAAAAAGTCTTTATCCTCCTCCCCCCTCCTTGGTACGATTGAGTGGGTTATTTTGGCTTACCCTTGTCAGCGTAGAGATTCGATGGGATGATTATGTAGTAGAATGCAGAGCATTGCGTGGTTTTGATCTGCGTCTGAGAGTCCAGTCCGCTCTATGAGGACCCGACTCGAGTTGACTGTTGCCTTTGTCGTTTTTTATTCTTCGTACCCAATGTAGAAAACTCCCTTTTAGGGTGACAAGGGAAGAAGTTGACTGGATAAGAAGGTGTGTGACGCAGATATGGTAACTTGTGAATGAGAGAACTTCCACTTCTGAGAATGGACCTTTGCTCCAAGAATGGAGAATTTATTGTAAGCTACATAGCAGACAGTAACCGTTGCGATATTTCTTTTGCCTGGTATATGACACCGACAAGTGTCTCTGTGAGATGTTTGAAGTTCCTCTTATGCCTCAGTTCAGATGCAAAGCGTACCACATCCTCACAGACCAGGAAGCTACTGGCACTTTGTATCCGATTTCTATTACCTCGCCACTAAACATGACAGAAATTCAACTCATCAATGCATCCCAGAGACAGTCAAATAAGTCAACGTAACAAATGTGGTTTTAGCAGCGAAAATAAGGAACAAAGTGGCCAGGCACCAAATTTACAGCCCAGTGACTTTAGACGATCGGAATCATAATTTATTTCTGCACGTAATCGGTTTAGCTCAGGAATATTACAGAAAGTTAATGAAAGTGCCGCTAAAATTCGTAACATCTGCTCGAGTGGGAGGTGCTCACACTTACCATTTCTCGGTTCTTTGTCTTATCTCAATCCCAATCACTGCCGTAAAGAGGCCTAAGAATGTGCATTCGGCTTCAAGTAAAGATGAAGCTCTCTTTAAATTTAAAATTATTTGAGAAAGGCATAACTCATTAAAACATTGGAGTCCGGTGACTTTTAAATGAATTCTTTTGAAGGAATCATTTCCGCGCATGTAAGTATTTTACAGCCTTGATTTCTAATTTCTGCTCTCATGGCGATATTGATCACAGGGTTGTCACAGCGTGCTTTTGTTATTTAACGTTTTAACTGACAAACTCATCCTCATCTTACCTGGTTAATTTGTGTTAGGACGTGAATGAAACTGATAGCTTGTAGTGTGTCCTTTTGTTCCATACCTCTTGAGATCACCAAAAAGATACTTTTGTGAAGTCACTTCGTGGATAGAGTTTACTAATGTCAAAATAACTTGGATGAATTCAAGATAAAGACTGATATGTGTATTTTATGACCAAAACATGGCAAAAATAGGTCTTAAAGACGCTCCTTCCATTTGAGGCAACTGTTTACATAATATCAGGCCATAAATGGATAGGATTTTGGACGCTTTAATTGTCTTGCCATTCGCAAAGAGGAAGAAGTTCTCTCTTACATTGTTTTTGAGTTAATCTGAGGACACGACAAAAAGCGCGTCATCCACTTTGGTGCTAAGGCGAGCAAAAGCTTTTGTACAAATTCACGATAATCTGAATAATCGAAAACGACTTAGTCTCCACCATACTTTGCTTTTTGAAGGGAACACATCGATAAGAAGTGCTTTATACAGAAATAATAGTAAATTACTTTGATTGGAAGAATGCATTACTATCCACCGCCAAAAATGCATTTCTCCTTTCGAAAAATGATGAAATTTACTTGTTGTAATGACATTCGAGGACCACCAATCTTAATAAAAGTGAGCCATTCTTGACTACCCTAGAACTCGAGTACACAACAACATCACAATCGAAATTCGCTGCAAACTATTCAAGTATCAGTATCCATTTTAACAAATAAAAGGAAACTGAATTACCCTTTCCTCAGTACTAAAACGGAAAAAAAAACGGTTTAAAAGAAAACACATTTGCAATGCTTGCAGTGGCAAAATACCTCAACTGGGGTCTTCTTTACCGGTTGATGATGAGTTGCTGGGTCAACCTGCTTTAACTAGGGTATTATTTACTTTAGAGTTGCCTCTTATTCCCACCCCAAGGCTGATCACAAAAGTTTACGCTTTCCTGTGAAGGATTGAGGCTTCCAATAATTGGGCGTTTGACTACACGGGCGCCGAGGCGAGAGCGTTGTGCCATGTTGGTGTCCGCCAGACACCTCCATGCCACGTTTACCTATTAGGCCTTAAGTAAAGACTTGGAGTGCTCCATCTCGTTTAACGCCTTAGAAGAAGGCTGGGATCCTCTGTAGGGGGCTTTGCACAAAGGGCTTACACGCAACTCGAAAGACAGGACTATGGAATACTCACAACAACTTGAATGATGGTACCAAAAAACAGTAGGTCATGCACAGAGTGGTATAACGGTCGCTGATGGCAGTAAAAGATCCGACTATCCGTTCAATGAAATTTGGTAAAGACTGTTGCATGGAGTTCACTTAGAGGTTATCAGTTTTTGGTTGGTAATAATACTTATTTCTGCAAGCAATGTTATAGAATAACCGAAGCTATACCAACAGATATCTACAGACTAGAATGGTAGCCAAACAGACTGCCATGCTATTCAAAGTGTACCCAGAGACTAAGATTGCATATTTAAATGAGCACTAAAGTCGAAATGAAATGTGAACATAAGCACACTCGATAAAAATGGGACTAATTCTGCGATCTGTACCAAGTCACCCCGAGGGATTTTGGGTCTTTCCTGACAGTGACATTGGTCGCATCCTAGTCCCTCATAATCTCGGTGTGGAAGTGCTGCAACGGTACAACACCAATCTTAAAAATACCCGTGTAAATTTAACCTACTTTTGCTAAAACTAAAGCCAAATCAGTTGAAAATCGCAGCCCACCTTGACTGAACATGAGAGCCGGGAAACGACATCGAAACGCAAAGGACAGAGAGCAAACGCATCAGGCTTTACTTTTGAGCGTACCCTACGAAGTAGGTTGGAGAGCCAGGTTTTATTAATGAATATTTTCTAAGACACCATAACTACGCTCATTGCCCACATATTCGTGTGAAAATATACCTGTCGCCAGAGCCTTAATGGCACACATGTCCCACCGCGTTTTTACTGGTCGGTTGCACAACGTCAAGGTCCAATCAGAGAAAGGTGGACAGAAACGCTGCCAGTTATTATTCCATTGGGTTCACCAAGCAAGTTCCTGCCAATAGGAATGTAAAAAATTGCCAGGGTAAACTAAGAACCATATAAAAAGATGATATCAATAAAAAACGGTTAATTCGTGCCTGCAATTAATCCGACAAAAGCATGTTTGGTCTGGTTTAGGCGGTCTCGGGATGCGAAGTCACACCTTTGTACAGCTCATTCTGGCAATATTTCCCTTGCTTGCCAAGTCCTCTAAATCCCCTGCAAACTTCATTTCAGTTGACATTTTTGAGGAACAACCAGTTGGCTCTCATGTGGCCGATGTCGCTCAGGAACTAGGCCTTACCATTGACAAGGGTTCAACATCCGTTGCTGCAGACACAGCTTCATATTTTAAAATAGTGGTCGCCAACTCCGCAATTAATGAATACTTTGCTATTTCTCCGACAAATGGTAGGATTTCCCTCAAAAAACATCTTGACAGAGACACACTTTGCCAAAATGAACGTCTCTGTTGCGAATCAGAGGACGATCGTGGATCCAGCCCAATAACGTTACCTGACGGAAGCTATTTTCGGCGAACCGCTATCTCATGTAAATTGTCGTTTCGTGTTGTTTACCGTCTCAATGCAAATGGAAGCGCTATGCATGAAAGGAGAATGGCATTCTGTTCAGTTGACGTCAATATTCACGATCTCAACGATTGTCCACCAAGATTCTTGCTAAAGGACATCTACCCCAATTATGGAGGTCAGTATCGCTCACAGCCAAATGCAATATCAATAACGATTCCGGAAAATACTGAAATAGATACCTGCTTTGACCTTCCAATGGCATTCGATGAGGATTCGCCACGATTTAGCGTCCAAGATTACCAATTGGAAGTTTCAGGGAAAGTAGACCAAGCTCTGGATGGTAACATTCATGATACGTTTTCAATCAGATTAGGGAGTTGTGATGGAGGATCCAGTACAATGTATGAAATGACGAACGGAATAACGATTGCTAATTCAAAGCCTAAGCTACAGCTTCGTCAAAAATTAGACAGGGAAGCTATCGAAGAATACAACTTAATTCTAATAGTCAGCGACGGAATGGATTCTGGCAGTCCAGAGTCACTTTACACCAAGCACGCAAACCTTCTGCCCCATTCAGCCAGCCTCTCGATAACCGTTATCGTGGGTGACATCAATGATCACGCTCCTAAAGTCGAGGCTTCAGTGGAAGTGAGATTGAAGGAGGATACACCAGTGGGCACTAGAGTTACTCAGATTGTTGCTCATGACAAGGATGCTGGAGACAATGCAAAGATACGCTATGAAATTCGGTCTTTAGTGCCGTCGCAGCTGTCCAGATTTCCATTCGCAATTGACTCTACCACAGGAGTTGTATCCATAGTTAATCCACTTGATGCCGATAGTTTGCCCCAGGAGGCACATGGATTGGTGGAATTTTTGGTTATCTCCTCAGACAATGGCCAAGATATTGCGTTTTCTAGTACCACAACAGTAAGTGTTCAAATTGAGGACATAAACGACGAAGCACCCGTAATTAAAACAGTTGATTTGGCCAGTCGAAGCAATCCACCAAGACCTACAGTTAGGGAGAATCTCCCTCCCGGTACATTAGTCGCTTTTGTTACTGTGACGGATGCTGATTCTGGGGTAAATGGAATGGTTACGTGCCGAGTTGATAATCCCAACTTCGATCTGGAGTCGATAGGCGATAAAAACGCAAGAGATAAGGAACTTCAACTAGTCACCAAATTGGCACTCGATCGTGAGCTCGCACCAGTGCAGCCGGTGACGATAATTTGTGTTGACCATGCTCACCCGGTCGCATTCGCCAAAACTGGATTTCAGCGGGTTCTAGTAAGCGTTACAGATGAAAACGACAATGATCCGATTTTCCCGAATGACGTTATCGAGCTTTCAGTTTACGAGAACAATCCACCAGGAGAACTTCTGTTCCGCCTTAACGCGACAGATGCTGACGAAATGGTTGCATGGATCTCGGGTTTAAGAACACCCTTAATCTACGAAATTGACTCAACTGGTAAACCATTTTTTAGCTTGGATCCGTCTTCGGGAAATCTCTACACAAGGGAGTCTTTTGACAGAGAAAAGCAGGATTTTATAGAATTCGGGGTAGTGGCGCGTGATCATGGGACTCCGCAGCGAAGCGCTAGCGCAAGGGTGGTTGTTCGCATTCTGGATAGAAACGATCACGCTCCTGAATTTGACCAAAAGGTATACAACGTAAGCGTGCTAGAATCAACACCTCTTGGTGAAGTTGTCTTGAGGGTGTCTGCTCACGACAAGGACCAGGGACCAAGTTCGGAGTTTTCGTACTATCTCGAAGACCTTAGGGTAAGTTTTAAGAGTTTACTCTTTTGCAGAACTATATGGTACGCCATTGACTATTTTGTATGCTTGACAGGGAAAGCCTTTTTGCATTAAATTAACTGTAAACTCGACCTCTCATCATAATCGTGCTTTTAGTTATTATTTTCGAAGAGTAAAGACGGTCCATTTAATGGTGCAACTGAAGCTTGTGAGGTAAAACACGCCTAGTACAAACGCGAAATACAAACTAATTTCTCCTAACACACAGTCCATATTTAAAATGGTTTCCCATTATCTTGTTCCTTAAAATCTAGTTTTTGAGATGTAGGAACACCCACAGCAATCAATCGCCACTATTGTGACAGTTGATTGTATTCGTGGTCAAGCTGAACAGCATTTCACTGCTATTTAATGTGCTATCCCATTCCAAACTTGCTTTCTTCGTTGCTTAATCTCTCTTGGTATTTTTGATGGAGCTAATTTTAATCAAAATTGTTGGCAGTGAAAAGAGTCTTCCTACACCATGCTTCCCCAATGCCTCTTCATTATCCCAATATGATTCACCGCATCCTGTGGCCAAATTGGGCGCATAAATGAAGTGGATTGCAGATTAGTCTGAGCACAAAACATCCACGCTTTATGCATTATTCCAAAACATGCACGCAAAATGAGAAAATCTGGATGTCATAAGAGGGTTACTAGGTTACTAAAGTCTCTTACGCACTTATGTATACCTTCATTAACCACTATTGGTGCGAATTGTGGCACAAATCTTGCAATCTTTGTGTCTTCAAACAGCAATTCATGATGCAAGATTCTGCTTAGCCACTGTGGTTCGAACAGGGAGATAGCAGGTTAATCTTAACTAAAAGATTTCCTACTGAGCTCTCAAGATTATTAATGAGATGGCAGTCACTTAGATCCACCTAATTTTGTCCGAAAGACAGACGGCTTTTGAGCAGCCTAATTTGCATAAAATCTAAACACTCTCAGCACACACCCCGCCTGCCGTACACCACCATCAATTGTGCCTCCTTCATCCTTCTATTTTAAAACTCCCTTGATGCGACTCGTTATTAACGACTACTATCAATTTAGGGGCTTTCTCGTTGTCACTTATCGAGTTAGGCGTGTGCGCGTGTTAGTGAATGTGAGCGTAAGCTCTTAAGACAACCAGCCATCACTGTGAAAATGCAGTTTCTTGTCAATTAATCCCCGCCCAAATGCGGTGGGGCATGCCAACCTAGTGCTCTCCATCACCATAAAAATTCTTTCTCCCACCACCCATCTTCCCCCATTTCCCATGCTTCATCCCTCTGCTTCCTCCTCCGAGCTTATTTATGTGAGAGCAACGTATCCATCTAATGGTAGGCATGCTTAATTAGGACTCCTTTGCGCGTGCTTCTAATCAACGACAGTCCTCTACTTTGATCAAAGAAAAGAGCAAAGGCAAGATGAAGGGGAGGAGAAGTGGGAATTATTTGGAGCACAACTGCGAGCATCTAAATGAGATTTTTCTTGAGGTGGCGTCAACGAAAGTCTTAAAAGATGTTGTCAACAGATTATTTTTCTCCTCAGTCGATGAGTAAATTTCTGATAAGATGAAATTAGGAAACTTAAGCATATATCAGCAGCTTGGGTGGGTGTTTGAATCTTCTTCTTGGTAAGGGTGATTCTTGAATCGCTTTCCCTGAAGGTTAGCACTAATGTACAATTTTACAGAAGCCGAGAAGTGAATAAAAACGGAATTTAGGTAGAGACGAAGTCTAAAACTTCCACCTATGCATAAAAAGTACAGTGTCTCGTCTAGTGAATATTTGAATTTCCACATAAATAAGGAAGTAAGCGAGGAAAACCTCGGTAGTGCTTTTGAGTGAATTAAAGCAAGTTGTAGGGAAGCAAGAATGCTAAGCCACCCAAATTTAAGAGCCAAACAGCATTTTATTAGATCTATCTTAAAAAAAATAGTGCTGTGAACAGTTGTGTCTCTTTATTGGAGCCTACATGGTGATCATTGAAGCGGAATAATTGCTTCCGGGAGGAGGGCCAATCAACGAATGGGTAAACGAAGAGACTGTGTACTGCCGTGGAGCATTTTGGGTACAGGTCACGACTCTCAACAAGCGTGGGAATACTGGCCCCTGGGTCCTACATGGGAAGTAAGGCAATGGACGATTGCACTGGGGACAGCTGAAGGAAAGTAGTTTTTTAGCACGAAGTTCCGAATATCATCCCATTCGCAGTGTTGTTCTAAAGGACAAATTCAAAGATTAAAGTAATAAATAAGTAAGTCACTGCAGGAGATAAACATGATTAGCATTCATCGCCCAAATCATAGCAATTTCAAAGGGGTCGATAGAGGGATTGACGGTAAGAGGCTGTCAGTGTATCAGAAGTCAGATAAATCAGAATCGCATTGGAAATTTGTTTGGTACATTTGCCAGATCCATTGACTTGAATCAACAAAATGCATATAAATTTAAATTGCTCCATCCCCAGAAGTTGTGCCATCCCGGTTGTAGACTCAACGTGCCATCGTATTTTATTTGTAGCGGCAGCTAAACTGTGCTGCGACTCAAACGTTTTCCTTCATTACCAAGGGTCGGATATGTTGCAGTGTCCTTATATTTTTCATTAAAATGTGAAGTCTACGGTCTATTGTTTCATGCAAGTGATAAATATTTGACTGACAGGAAAAAAGATGTGCTGTTTTTGTTAAAAGGCACCAACATTCTGCCTTACGAGTTACAGAGAATAATTGGTACAGTGAGACTGACAACCCAAGCGAGAATGGCATGCAAATCTGCTGTTTAGAGCCATGAAGAAAAAGTGACAATTTTTTTAGGTTTGCGGATTCGAAACAGTGTTCCTCGCCAGTGAGCAGTGGCATTTCAGTTTTCGTCCAAGTGCAGCATCCAAAAAATGATTATTGAAGAAGCGTCTGTGGAGTGAATAAGTTGGTGGCTTGAAAAAATTTACGATAGAGGGAACAGCAGAAACGATCAGAAGTGATAAAGTAGCAAATAATGTAAAGTACTGAGTAACACTGTTCATATGACATAAATTTAAGTCACAAATCCTCTATGACAGGATGAAGTAATTCAGATTGTTGTACCATCTCAGCACTCCATCTGGACAGCTAATTCTGTCATGAGGTCGACATTCACGCAGATCGCTTGATGACGATCGTCAAAGCAGACAGATACTCCAATGAATAGGAACGATTGTTGGCATATTAAGCTGGCGATTTCTAAGTATCTTGAAATTCGAATAATGTATAAGTGACACTGTAAACACAGCTTTAGATTTTTAACAATTTAAGCAATCATCCGTCATAGAGCATATGAGGACAACTGTCAAACTCCAAAAGAAGGCAGTCGAAATAATTGCGAGTGTACAGTGCGTACTCTGTTGCTGAATGGTGCTTTGTACGCATTCCTACTGAGCGGAAGCAGCCATGGTGTTTTTTGTACAAAGTTTAATGCGCAAGAATAGAGGATGCCGTTTTCTGATTTGTCAAGCAGAGTTCTTTGGAATAGTTATTGTTTGTTGATCGTTGTCTTGATCCACTGCCTAGTAAGGTATCCTATTCATGGGTAGCATATTTTATAGCACTTACGACCACATTGGTAGTATAGTGGGACACCGAAATGACAACAATTTTGGCACATCAGCTTTATGGAAGTGTTTTTTTACACATAATATGGTAAGCTGTTCCGCCCAGGAAATTGCATTTATACGCTGCAGTATAACAGATGGTTAAAAATCTTTGCAAACCTGAGACTACGCATGTAATGTGCGATTGGAAGGAGACAATTTACTTATTGAAATTGGTTACCCTTGTAAATGGGAGTAGAATGGAAGAATTTGTGCAAGACGCCAACACATGCATCACATTTCCCAAAAATACTCAAAATGAAGCAGCTTCTTGATTGGGGTAGGCACTTGCATTTGTTCCTCACTTTCATTTCAGTACAACTTATCAAAGCTTAAAGGATTTCATCACGAAACTCAAAATCTGTATTTGTTAAGCAGTTTACCAAAAGCTAAGCAGACTAAGTGACCTTTCCTCTAGAACATGCTGCTTTTATGCTAGGCAAAGAAATTGCTGTAGTAAAATAATACAGGTGACACAGTAAAATGCAAGGGTTGACTTTAGTAGCCGAAATCGTTTTATTATCTTATAAAAGGAGCACTCCAGTTGCAAACAAATTGCTTTACTAACTGAGCAGCAGTTGGTAAAAGCCCAGGCTTATGTACCCTTCTGATTGCTTCCTACACACCTGCTTGCTCTGCAAATGCCAGTGGCCCATTAGACTGTTGTACTGCCGTGCAGAAGAGAATTAGGCAGAATGACCGTTTTATTCATCAATAATGTCATGCGCTACATTGATGTATTTTGTGCCATTTAGTAGTATAACTGCAACAAATTGACCATTCAGAAAAGTATACTCAGAAATAAAGTCCTTACTGTCGTAGCAAAAAAGCAGGCCCACAATGCTCCTCCCAAACTCCAACTACACGTACTGCATAGCTTTATATAATCCTAGTCGTGACCAGCATTGATGCACTGCGGTTCGGCGTGTAGCGAAAACTTTTTCAATACCGGCAGAATGAATGCTAACGCTACTTTGAAGGCTGATGAGTTTGAATGGGATGAATTTGCTTTACACGGTTTTAGTTGTCGAGGGGATATCTTGACCTCCATCGTATTTTTAAAATGGCTATAGAAGATGTTTTGGTGCTTCGCTCGTTTACGTTGTGACATTCACTGCGCCTTAGGTAAGCACTGATGCCGTTATTTTCCTTGCCTCCTTCCTTTTCTCCTAATCACTGGGGTTAAGGTGTTTTTGAACAAGCTGACTGGCGCAAGCAGCAGCAAAAGTCATGGTACAAGAGGTGTGAGTCAGCAGAGCACACAGTGCCTTTATTTCCATCAACATCCAGTAGGTTCAAAAGCGTTCCCACACGTTGGCTTCTTAGTCTCCTGTCCTCCTTTCACCCCTCCATTCAAATGTGCCCTCCTGTCTTTACAAACAACAATGGTTTACTATAATCTCCCCCATCTTTTTAAGCTGAAGACGTCATGCACACATTCTGAACAACGCACTACA